TTCGGGGGCCGGTGCGGCAGAGCTCGGGGATCAAGCCCCCGAGCCCAAGGTCTGCATCCTCCGCGGACCGGGCCCTCCGGGGATGGGGGTCATTTTACAAGGGGGCGGGAATTCCGAGTTCCTACCCTACGTGCACGTTTCCAGCTCCTCAGCCTTTCTCCTCCGACTTTCCCCCTGCCTGTGGAGCTCCTGGCCAGGTTCCGGGAAGGCAGAGAGCAGACGAACAAAAGGAGCGAAGTCTCAGGCCGGCCTGGAAGTGGAGGGCGCGGTGGGGGAGGGGAGCGGGTGGACGGGACAAAGGGGCTTTTTATGGAGAGAGCCTAGAGGTCTGATTTCAGGGCGCATTCCAGGCCAGCCGGGATTCCCCTGCCCCAGCCCACCCCGCCTCGGCCCGGTGGAAGCGAACACCTTTCCCTGTGTGCCGGGAGTGGAGGGGAGAAAGAAAGCAGTCCGGGGATGATCTCCTACCCGTCTTGCCTGCAGGGTCTCGGGCTAATTCCCTTCCTTCCTTTCCAGTTAGCTCTAGTGGCTGAACGTTTACTTGTTCATTCATTAGACAGAACTGTAGGCCTGTCGGAGACTGAACTTTGCTGAGATAGTGTGAGGTGCCCGGTTTAAAGAAGTTTGGATAAACGTAAAAGAAGAAAATGAAGAAAACAAACAAACAAACAAAAACAAAAACGGAGAGAATGGTTGGCTGCAAAGGGCTGTGGAAAAGCTTTCCTATTCAGGACTCTTCCTTAGGAAAATGAAAACTCTAAAGAGGAGAGGGAGTTTTTTCTCTCCTTGGCGGAGGGTTCTTGTTCCCCAAGGCCACATTCCAATCACCCTCAGAGCTGAGGGAAGAAAGCTCACTTCCTCACCTGCCGCCGGCCTTGGCGATGGTGCTCTGGGATTTGGGGCTGCAGCGTCAGGTCCAGGGCGGCCAATAAAGTGCCCACTTCTCCTTGGGTATTTTGAGTTAGATGCCATGTAATCGGCTGGACCCACCGGACCTTCTCTGGGAATCTCTGGGAGGGTTGGTTTGCTAGCCACGTGCCAGACTTTTAGATTCTGCTAGTTTGGGACATGCTGGCTGTGAACTGGGGGCAGAGAAATGTCTGAGAATTCCTGAGGCCCAGGGCAAGTAGGTGGATTTCTCTCCTGTTATGGAGGAAAGGCTCCTGCTCAGCCCCCCTAGAAGCAGATACTGTGACACCGAGTTTTTGTAAAAACAAAAGGCGACCAACCAGCAAGGAGACCAGGAGCTGTAAGCTCAAATCTGCTGTAGTGATCCGTTGAGCTATTGGGTTGTAGAAAGGGAGAGGGTGACTTTGCTAGGTCTGGGGTGGCGGGGCTCTTCCCAGGCCATGGGCTTCTTTTTACGAGGAGTTGAGTCTGTGCTGGGTACTTGGAGCTTCGACATCGCGGACAAGGTGACCTGGCTTCTGCACATGTCCATTCTTGAAAAGCCAGTTAGTTCCAAGGTAGACAGATCATTAGCCAAAGGTTTGCAGGCTTTCCTCAGAGGATAATTCAAGTCAAGGAATTTGTGTCCAGCCAGACCTTAGCTGATTTCACTCCCGCCGTCCCGCCCGCACCTAGATAGTGGTTACCTGAGGGCTGAAGTTCTAAAAAGTGTCCATGCATGTGTGAATAGGATTCAGAGGGGGTTTGTAAGCTTAAATAGGAGAGTGGGGACTTGCATCTTTATTTTTTCACCACCATTTATTAGAAATTTAGCATCACTTTGAATTTTAAAGGCAGTAGGCCACCGGAGCATTGGTAGTACCTGTGACTGCCATTGATAGAATTCATTGTCATGTTATATAGCCGTTGTAGCAGCTATCTTGAATATTGTTCGCACTCATCACTTGTATGCTAATAAGGAAGCATATACGTTGCCATGTTTTTCTGCTTTTGGAACTATGTTGCAATATAATTGGTTCTCCCAGTGATTGATTTTTTTGGGGGGATACTGGGATTGAACTCAGGACCTTGCACTTGTGAGGCAGGCGGTGGAACCACTGAGCTAAATCCTCGGCCCTCCCAGTGATCTTTTTCATTTTATTTTATGTATGTGAGTTATGAGCTGGTTCTAGAAAATTCCACTCCTCTCCACTTGGGAGCTAAGAGCCGGGCAAGGCCAGGAATGGCTGTTTTTGCCCAGAATCAGCCCCTGTGTGGCAGATTCTGGATGAAAGTGTGGACCTGGGTGGGAGGGACTGCTGTACTATGGGGGACAGGGGAAGGGAAAGGTTGCAGGCTCTTGGGAGCCCCAGAGAGCTTCTGTCCCCCATGAGGGCCCCTCTGCCTCAGGCTGGGGAGAGCAGAAGGTGGTCAGCCTGGAGACCCTGGGCTAGCATTGTTTGGAAAGAGGGTGTGGACTGGAATGTGAAGGTGTGGGCGGAGTGGCCGCTGTGACAGCTCTGCTCCCCAGAAGGTGTTGATGAGAGCAGAGTTCGGGTGCAGCCCCCAGCCTGTAGCAAAATCCCAGTTGGCTGGGGACAGGCAGCTGACTACCTGAGCTCAGCTTCCACTGTGAAATGGGCTGGATTCCACAGTTTGCCACGTGCTTGAGGCTCTATAGGGTGGGCTGCCGAGGGGAACCGATTCCATTTTGGCCTCTGGTCCCTTGCACTGGGAAGTGGCTTTAAGGGCTGGAATCCCACAGGGACCCTTCTGCAGAGTGAGGGTCCAAACCGGGGCTCAGGTCCGCACCCCTGGGACCGTGCTGCTGGGAGGTGGGGTAAGTAGATGCATGGGATAAAAGGAGAACGCTCTGGGCTGGGGGTGCAGCTCAGCGGGCAGCGTTCATCCTCACTAAACAAGGAAAAGGGAGGAAAGAGAGGGAACCGGCCTGGTCCACCCACCCCTGGAGGACACGTACCCTCTGCAAACGCAATTCCAATCTGAGGGGCTTTTTGTTTATTTTAATTGGGTTGTCTTGTTTTGTACTGGAGGTTAAACCCAGAACCTTGGGTTTGCACTCTAACTTTGTACTACACCTCGAGCACCCTTTTCCTTCTCTTTTTGTTTTGAGAAGCAAGGCTGATCTCTCAGTTCCTGGGCTTGTGATCCTCCTGCCTCAGCCTCCTGAGTAGCCAGGCTACAAGTGTGCCCCTCCTACCCTCCAGTGTGAGGTTTTGAAATCCTTACTTGGGAGACACAGAAAACTCAGACCATGGTCTCCACTTCAGTGTGTGGGGAAGAGCAAAGACTCTGCATCGAGTGTGTAATTTCCCACCCATAACCCCATGCACAGTGGACGTCTTACCTGTTTGAGGGACTTGGCGGTCCTCGGTTTCTGGAAAGGGAAACTTGGAGCCAAGGAAGGCGGGGAGAGCCAGGCAGGAAAGGAGGGTACTGTGGCACCTCACAGCCGGGAAAGCTGCACTAGGGTCCCTTCAAGGAGTGCCCCAGGTTGCTGGCTGGGATTTCTCCCTGGAGAGCCCCCTTTCCCTGCTCCCTCTGGCCCCGGAAGTGCAGAGGCCCAGGAGCTGCCTGCCGGCAACAGTCAGCACTCAGGATTAGTTCAGGGAAGGGCTTGCTCACCTGCTCCTCCCCTCTGACTCAAGTCGGAACAAGCAACCTGGTTCCCCTGGCCCAGCAGCCTGGGAGGGACGGAGGAGGGACTGGAGGAGGGACAGCCAGAGGGGCAGCTGGCAGTGCGGAGCCAGAGCTGTAGCCTGTAGCCGGAGCCGAGAGAGAGCCAGAGCCGGTCACAGTGAGAGCGCAGGTAGCCAACCCGCAGCCCAGGAGGCCTACAGGCAACATGCAAGGCCCCTAGACTCCTGGACTAAAACTCTGAAACAGGTGAGGGTGGGGCGGGGCAGAGCTGGGCTTTGGGGCTTGGCGCAGGCTGGCCTGCCGGGGGAGGGATCTTGGCTGTGGCCACCTCCAGCTCCTGCCCAGCTCTGGTCTGGGGCTCAGGGAACAGGGGGCTGGTGGGCTCCATGGGGCCACCAGAGATGAGCTGGAGCAAAGAGGCCCAAGGCCTAACTTTGGGGGTTCATTTGAGGTGGGGAGGGTCCTGATGGCACGCCTAAGAGCAAGTGCCATGGTGTTGCCCCTCCTGTCTTCTGTTTCTGTTCTCTGCCTTTTCCTGGAGACTGTGCATTCTTCATGGTGTGCTGCTTCTTGAGGCTCAGTTCTGGGGCTGGCCCAGAGGGGAGGACCAGCGGGGATTCCAGGTTAGGGGAGTGTGGGGATGTTACTTGAGCTGCCTTTATCTAGAGCAATGCTTTAGACACCTGAGGCGCCCCCCACTTTCCGTGGGGGTTGATCCAGGTCTTCCGAAGTGGATTTGGGCAGCTTCCCCAGCTCTGCAGGACAGGTGCCTGAGGTCTGCTCCCTGACTGGGTCCTGACATTGGCCAAGAGGTCCTGGTTCACTCTTTGGAGCCCCCCCAACGCTTTGTGTGCCTTGAAATGTGGCACAGCCAGGCCAGGTGACTTTCCTTAGGTAACACAGTTGGTGGAACAACTGAGCCCTACTTAGAGCAGCAAGTTCTGGCATCAGATTGGGACCACTAGGAGTGTCAGGGCTTCCCCCTTGACCCTGGCAGGGAGGGACTGGTCCATCTGGGGAGGGGGAAGCTGCAGGACAGAGAGGGCATGCTAAGGGATCCCCCTAGTCCCCAGAGTTCCCACTCCATGGCCTGAGTTGTTCCAACTTTTCAAGGCAGCTCCTTAGTGGTTAATAATTAATTGGCAAATGTGACTAATTAATGGCTTTACCTCTGCTATTACCTCCTCCCTTTGTCCAAAGCTAAGAGGCTCAGGGTGCCAGCTGAGAGTCCGTCCTGCTCCCTAGCTCCTGCGAGACGCTCCCACCTTATGGGGAGGATGACAGCAAGGCCAGGCTTGGGGAAAGGAGTAAGGGTCTGGGACAGATGAACAGTGCAAAGCTAAGAACAATCACTCTGCATCCCGGGGTTCCTAGAATATATGTCCACTGTTTCTGTGGCATGTTTTATAAAGGCCTCCTTACAAACTTAAAACATGTTTTTCTACCGTGCACTCTTTGGATTTCCTTGGAAATAGAAATTGCAAAGTGCAAGGTACATATGTCTTCAGGGCCGTGGTTTTAATTGCTGCTGCCCATGGCACTCTGATAAGCTGGGCTGTTTACGCTGGTCTGTAAAAGCACCACTGCTCCTTCCCCTGGCAGAGGGACCACGCTCCTGGGGACAGGCTGACCGCATTCCCCTCTCCCTCTGTCTGCCTTGCTTGCGGCCAGCTTTCCCTAGGCCTACTCTTCTATCCTGTTAGCTGCTCATGGGGGTCTGTGAGAATCCCCACCCCCACTGCGGCCCTGGGCTCTGAGAAGGCAGCAGGATGAGCTCCAGACAGAAACTCGGAAGGACTTTTGGACTCTTGCTCAACAGCTGACTCAGTGAGGAGGTGGCTGGCCTCTCCTTGCAGGCCTCCACCTGGGCTCCACCCACCTCCCTACCCCTTTCCAGCCAGCGGCTGCCGGGCCCTGACCAGCTGGGACCCTGACCAGGGCTGGTGGCTCAAAGTAGTCTCAGGAGCCACTGTCTGGCATCAAGGGGCCACACCTGCCTAGAGGGTCTAGCCTGGAGCAGGGGGCCCTGGACTCTGGGGACCAGGACAGGCTATGGCCTGATGCCCGTGTCCAGCACTTCTCCAAGTGCTCCCAGCACGGGGGCAGTAGCGTATGACAGGATGAGGACAGCTGTGTCCAGGAAGACATCTTCCTCTTCGTCCTGGCTTCCTCACCTGTTCTGTCTTCCTGGTCCCCTCCTTTCATCTTTAAGCAAGTACTCCTCAGCTGTTTGGAACCAAAGGGGCTGGTGTAGAGCTTTCTGGTTATTGTTCTCCTTTCTCTTCAAAGCTGGGAGGACTCCAGGCTGCCTACACATCCTGGCCCAGGCTGGGACCGGGGCCGCCTCTCCCTCTGCTCCCCCCACTGCCCAAAATCCACCATGGAGAGTAAGGATGAGGTCAGCGACACCGACAGTGGCATCATCCTGCAGTCTGGTGAGTGGTCGGGGAAATCCACCACCCTGCCCACAGCCCCAGGCTCTGCAGCCAGAGCCCAAGGAGGGAGGGGGCAAGAGGCCTCTGCGGGGGGCCTCAAGAACACGAACTTTCCCTCTTTGGAGGATCTGGCTGGAGTTTGGTCCACTATGAACAGGGATCTGAGTGTTCAACTTTAGCTCCAGTGATTGCTAAAAAGTTGAAAATGCTTATCTGGCCATGTTAAGGTCCTGTGTCTCTGATTGAAACAAACTGGTGGGTCTAGGCTGCCCCAGTCTGGACAGAGAACCAGAGAGGCCAGCAGCGCTTCCCTGACCCCAGATCAGAGCTGTGACGTGGCCACTGCAGGACAGCCTGTAGCCTGGGGTTTGTGGCTCTGACACAGGCCACAGCAGCTAATGTGCAATTTGTGAGAGGTGTGGGGCTGTGCGTGTATGGTGTGTGCTCCCCTGAAGGTGGTCAGCACCTTCCCTAGGGTGTCCTGCTTCAGCATCCCTGAGCACAGGCCCCTCGCCCTCCCGCAGGCCCTGACAGCCCGGTCTCCCCGATGAAGGAGCTAACCCACGCTGTGCGCAAGCAGCAGCGGTCCCTGGAAGCACAGCTGGAGGCCTGCCTGGAGGAGCTGCGGAGACTCTGCCTTCGGGAGGCGGTGAGGCCTGGGCGGCCCTGCCCCGCACACCACACACACATGGAGCTTATTTTGGGAAATTAGGGCTGAGGGTGCTATCCCATCCTTCCAAGAAATTCTGGAAATCAGAGCTGGGCTGGGCCTGGAGTCCCTCTGGTGTAGCGTTTGGCTGGGTGCTGGGTGGCAGAAGGGCTGCAGGGTGGCTGCGGAGACTAAGTGCATCTGAGGGTTGGAGCTGGGATCCCTGTAGCCCTCTGGAGGAAGTAACCAGAAGACGTGAAGGAAACGGGAGGGAGGCAGAGTGTGCCCAGGAACGGGAACAAGAGAAGTGAGGGATGATGGGATGGCAGGGCACAAGTGGCCAGCTGTCCAGGTGCCTCTGGGGAAAGGAGGACCTGTGCAGTGCAAGGCCAGTGACGGCTACGAGCAGTCGGCCAGGTTGGGCAGGTGGAGAATCACTGGCTTGACTTGGCTTCCCTGCAGGAGCTGACAGGCATCTTGCCAGAAGAATATCCCCTCAAACCAGGAGAAAAGGCACCCAAGGTCCGCCGCAGGATTGGAGCAGCTTACAAGCTGGAGGAATGGGCCTTGCACAGAGAGGTGAGGCATTTCGGAGGCTACCACTGCCCCTCAGTGCCCAAAGCCGACCACCTCCTGAGGTGAGCCTCAGGAGTCTGATGGTCTTGCCATCCTGAGGGATGCTCCCTGTGGTTAGCCAGATGGCTAGGGGCGTGTGCCACCTCAGGTGCAAGGGGCAGGGCACTCAGAGGACATTGGGTCTGTCCCCCATGGACAGAGGATCAGTTAAGAGCTCCAGCCACCCACCTGGAGAGGCAGGTACTGTGTCCCTGGGCTGTCCTCTTTTTTTGTTTGTTTGTTTGTTTTTTGTTTTTTGAGACAGGGTCTCACTATGTAGTTGAGACTGACCTGGAACTCACTATGTAGCCCAGGCTGGTCTCGAACTCACAGCGATCCTCCTGCCTGCCTCAGCCTCCCCAGTGCTGGGATTACAGGCATGCGCCACCACGCCCGGCTGATTGGGCTGTCCTCTTTCTAAGCTCAGGAGAAAAGTGGCAGGGGCAGCTTGGCCTGCCCTTCCCTGTGGTGGGAGTGGTGGCAGGCTCCCAAGGACTGGCCTGCCCAACCCTCTGGGGTCAGAGGGAAAGTGTCCCGCTTGGGTTCCACCCAGCCCAGCTGGGCAGACAGGCCAGGGGGGTGCCCACGCCAGCTTCTCACCCTGACAAGTTGTCTCTTGGCCCCTCCTGCCACTCCACCCTCTGTTCCACATCCCTGGGCTGCTGTCTGTTTACCCTCCGTCCTCTCCGCAAAGGGCCAGGGCTCCAAGCCCTGGGCCACGGCCCCCTGGGAGCCTGCCTGTCCCGAAGCTCACTCCCTTCCCTCCTCAGGATCCCCTGAGCAGCCTGGAGAGCCAGCTGGCCCTGCAGCTGCAGATCACTGAGGCTGCGCGGCGGCTGTGCGCGGAGGAGAATCTCGGCAGGCAGACGCGCCGGCAGCGGAAGCTCGCAGCGCTGCAGGAGGAGAAGAAGCTGCGGGAGCTGCAACGCAGCCTGGGCGAGCGGCGGCGCAACAGCGAGCCCCCTCCTGCCACCACAGCCCACTCGCTGGGCCAAGGTGAGGCCACTGCCCTGCGCCGCGCACGACGCGTGTGGGGTGGTGGACAGCGTGGCCTTGTGCCACCACTCGCCGCGTTTGCGTTGTCAGCGCTGTCTGCGCTCCTGGCCCTGCGTTCAGGGCTCTACCAGCTGCTTCCTGGATCTACCTGACCCTCTGCAGCCCAGGAAAGGTTTCTTCATCCTGGGAGTTCCCACTCCTTAGAAAACATCCCACACTTCCCCACCCCCACCCCCAGCCCCACCGCGTGCTCTGCAAAGGCTTCAGAAGACATTCTAAACCAGGAGTGGAGGTGCCCAGCGGAAATCCTAATGCTCTGGGAGGCTGAGACAGGAGGATTGCAAGTTCTAGCCCAGCCAGGGAAACTTATGAAATTAGCAAGACTATTAGAAAGAGAGAGAGATTGGAAGTAGGTTGCAGGTGTAGATCCAGAGGAAGGCCCTGGGTTCAATCCCCGGTACTGGCGGGTGAGGGGTAGAAGACTTCCTAGACGGGAAGGCTAACCCTAAGATTAATCTAAGGATTTGTTCAGCCAAAGTACCCAGAGCCCACAGGGCGGCACCTTATCTGGGTCAGGGTACTGAGATGAACCTGAGGCTCTGAAATAATATACTTTCCCCAGCTGGAGTTCTGCTGTGCGTAGCTGGTCGAGAGTTGTGTTTCAGGGCCACAGTACTTGCTACTCACAGGATGTTTGGACTGGAGTCTGGCCCCTGCGATGCTGAGCCCCTTCAGTATCTACAAGCACCCTGGTCTAGAGGGGCTTCCACATCTGTTCTCTGCCTTGTGCCTGTGGTTCAGTCCCTGACCCTTGACCCCCTCCAGGTGGCTGTCGGGCACCTAGTGAGCTGTCAATGCCAGGAGCCCGGACATGATTTAAGAACGTCCAGTCTGGGCTAGCGTCCTGTCCGGGGCTTTGAACCCCAAGATGTGATTATTTTGTTTGTGCCGACCCACATTCAGCTTGTCAGGTCTCGACTTGCAGGCTTCCATTGCAGTCCCCACCCCCAGGCCTCTCTCATGGCTCCCAGGCCTCCCTGGCTGCGTCTGTGGGCAGAGAAGTAGGCAAGGGGGCAGTGGCCCTGGGCAGAGTGGGTCCCAGGCCTCGGGTTAGCAAGTGGCTGCAATCCCTGCACTTCAGCTTGGCTTTTTGCATGGTTGCTGTCCTTCCCTGGTGGGACACTTGGGTGGAAGCGTAATGGCCCTCCCTGGCCCCATTGCTCCCACCTGTGCCTTCTCATCTACGGCAGATGCCTCGCCAGACACTAGCCAGGTGTAGATGACAAAGGGCGCTTCTATGTGACAGGTGATCAGTAAACCCAGAAGAGCATTGGGCTGATCCAGGGCTGAGTGGCCAGACCTCTGTCTGGTTGAGTGGCTCTAGCCTGCCCTGGCTACAGGACAATGCTCCTGGCTTCCAAGCATCTTAGGGAGAAGACATTCTCCATTCCCTGTCCACTCCCTGCAGGCCCCTGGCATGAAAGGCAGCTCTGCCCGGGGCAGAGTCCCCCAGGGCCAACTTGCTCTGTGCCTTTCGGGAGCCGTCCGGAGGGTGAGATGTGCCCGGTCCCAGTTGGTTTCAGGCCCTCAGTCCCTCCAGGCTCGCACTGCTCAGCAGCCCCTGCCTATAGGCGCTGCAGTCGCTGGGAGCTTCTGTCCAGGCCTGGGCTGGCAGTGAAATGTCACTCTGCCACCGCCACTGTGACCCATGACGCTGCTCGTTGGGAGCGGAGAGCAGGCTAGGACATGCCTCAGGCTCTGGTTTAACCCTCTGGTAAGCAGGAGGCTGAGGTTCTGAAACCTTCTCAGGGTACTCCGCCCAGGACAAGTCGACTTGGGCAGGGGAAAGAGCTGGTGCAGCTGCTGCCTTGGCCTACTCCGGCATAGACCTTGCTCCCAAACTCAGCCCTGCTCTCCACATGGGCCCAGGTCCTGGGTTCTAATGTTTGGCCTTGGGAGCTCTGGAATAGGTGGGTCTGACAGGCGATTCCTCTTTTGTGGCTTTTCTGCCAGGCTGTGCTCACTTAGAAAGAAAGAAGTAGAAAGGGATTGATAATTAGTAGCTGAAAGGTGTTTTGATTTCAAGAGAGAAAAATAAGCAAATGAACCCAGAAACAAAATCTCAAACAAAAGCCCATCCCATGCCCTAGATCTCTCCACAAGGGCTATTCAATTTGGGAAAGTAATTATGCCAGGCGAGAGTAATTAGCCAGACTCTGCAGGTGGCAAGGAACAGTCAGGTGGTGAAGCAATTTACTGCAGGTGAACCTGATGAGAGCCACCCCCAGCGCGCGCCTCTGTGACAGAACAGGTGCTCAGTGTGTGTTTGCTGACAGTACCAGGTTTTAGCAACACCTCTCCATTAGCATTTCAGCAGTTGTTCTCCATCTGTGCTGTCCGGTATGGGAGCCACTGGCTTCAGGTGGCTACGGAGCATCTGAACTGTGCCTAATGTGACTGAGGAGCTGAACTTTAACCTTGATTTCATTTTTCCTCTTCAAGTTTTTTTTTTTGTACTGGGGATCGAACTTGGGACCTTGCGCTTGCGAGGCAGGCAGTGGAACCACTGAGCTAAATGCCCGGCCCTCATTTTAAGGAATATAGTCTCACCAGCTGGTGGCTACCATGTTGGACAGTATAGCTTTGGGAGTGCTGAGTTGGTAGGTATCATCTTCATAGTTACCTCTCCACCTGGGGCATGCTGGGTAGAGGCCAGGGCTGGGTGGGGACCCGGGGCCTGAGACAGTGACAGCCCTCAGGAGTCACCTGCATCAGACAGATCAGTGTGCTGTGCCAGTTCCTCCTCTGCAAAGGCTGTGTGTCTCTGGATTCTCTGTGTTGTACCTTCTGGCCGGCAAAACAGACCCTCCTGATCACATGAATGTTAGGGTGATGGGGAAGGAGTGGGGTACCTAGACACTGTGTTTTCACTGAGATGCACGTCTCGGACCTGGGCTGCACTGCCGGTCCACGAGTAACAGTTCCATCGTTTTTTTCAACTTGACATTTGCAAAAACTAAAAATCTTATTTTGGTAGTTTTTTTAAAGACTAGAGGCAGGGAACCAGAATTCAAGAAGAGGGTGTCATTTCCACTGAACCCCAAAGCAAAGGCTAGCTGGGGACCAGCAAAGCTAGGCCTGGCTGGCTGTTCTCATGTCTGGCCCAGCTCCCTGAGCCTTATTCCTACAGAGTGGAACTGCTCTGGGTAAAGTTTTTATTTTATTTTAGTTGCCAATCAAAGATTGGCAAATATTTCCAATTTGCCAAAAAGCCAGATAGTCAATGCGTTAGGCTTTGTGGATCGTGAGATCTCATCACAAGTCTGCCATTTTAGATGGACATTAAAGCAGCCAGACGTTAGGTAAATGAATCTGTAGCTGTATTCCAGTAAAATTTTATTTGTAAAAACAGCTGGTGAACTACATTCAGCCCATGGGCTGTAGTTTACCAACCCCTATTATAAAGGTTTCGAGATAGCTGGAACTGTTTACTTTTCTTAGAACTTTCTGACAATGACCTGTGCATTAGATACTGGCAAACAGCAGAGCCGATGAAGGGTGGGGTCAAGAGCCCAGACTCTGGTCAGGCTTTCTGAGTGTGAACTCTGACTCACCCACCCTCTGGGAGATTGACCCAAACAGCATTACTCCTGAGATGTGGCTTCCTCAGCTGTTACGTGGAGGGATAGCAACTACTTTACATGGTTATGAGAATTGCATGAAGCGGTGTGCAGCGAGTACAAAGAAAAGTATTGGCATTGTGAAAATACCAGCCGTGATTCCTTTTCCTCACTTCCGTTGTTGAACATTTAAAAATGCTTTGTGAGTTCCATTCGGGTACTATCAGGCTTGTTCTCAAGATCTTTCCTGGGAGGCAGCTGCTGCTGTTCCGTTCGGAAAGGCCATTTTCCTCCAGGTGACTCGCCTTGTCACCAGTTGAAGATTCCTCCCTAGGGCTGGCCAGCCAAATGTTCATTTAAATCGTCCTGACAGTCCCACTGCTGACTTCCACCTCTCTCTGTTCTTGTTGCTGGCAAGACAGTAGTTCCTAGGTTGAGTTCAGTTGTACATATGATGTTAGAAGGCTCCAGAAAAGATGGCAGCACTCATTTCATCCTAGGGGCCTCCCGAATGGCTCCTCCTTTCCCGTCTCTTGTCAAGAGGCCTTAGCTTATCTTGACAGATGGAGAAACTGAGGTCCAGAGCTCGGAAATGGTTTATTCAAAGGTGCATGGATAATGACAGAGCCAGGATTAAAACCAGGTTTCCTGTCTCCTAGTTCTTGATTTTTTTTTTTTTTT